CTGATGGTGCCTGGAGTGTCCGGCCAGCACCACCCCCAACACCGAACCCGAGAGACCTAGTTGAGCCAAGCTCTGAAGGACAGTCGAATGAGACGTAGAGTCAAATGCGCACTTGATATCAAAGAATGCTACAAGGAGCAATCTTCTCCGGCGATAAGTGTCGATTATTCGATGTTCCAAGGAGAGGAGGCAGTTTGTCGTACTTCTTCCCGGCCGAAATCCACTGATACCTTCAGGTAGGAGACCTGAGGTTTTCACCACCCACTGTAGCTAGAGGTGAACAAGGCATTCTATCAGTTTCCTGAGACATGGAAGCAGACTTGAGGGCTGATATGAACTCAGGACAGACGGATCCTTCCCAGACTTGGGAAATGGTAAAAGAATGGGGTGTTTCCATGGGTCAAGGAAGACACCAGAGGACCAGCAGGCATTGTAGAAGTGAAGGAGATGGGACTGAAAGATCCTGGGCGCCCTTCGAATAAATTCATATGGGACGCTGTCTATTCCTGGCATAGTGCATGTCCTAGGAAGTGACAGGGCCTCCTCAAGCTCAACAGATATAAATGGATGGTCCAGGTCCCGATCTAGTCCTATACTCTCTCGGGAGCCACAACCTATGGAATCTGCTGGAAGGAGTGGGAACTGTAAACATCTTTAAAGTGGTCAGCCTAAAGCTTGGCTATTTGTACTTTCCCCAGGCTCTCATTACCACTGGAGTCTCTGAGCGGGATGGAAGGCCTGGAGTACCTCCCTGTCATCTTACGAACAAAGACCCAGGCTCCCACAGAGGAGTCAAATCAGAGAGAGGCACAATAATCAGCCCAGGCCCTGTGCTTGGCAAGGAGGATTACCCGCCTTCCCCTGGGGTTCGCCCTTCGGAAAGTCTGCTGCTACATAGAGTAGGGTGGCATCGCCACGAATTCTATGCACGTTGCTGGTCCAGCACTGCCTGCCAACATTCAGGAGTGCACCACATTGCTCCATCACGGGAAGGGTTGGAGGTCAAGCCACTAGTACTCTTGAAATGCCAAGAGCCTATACTGAAGAGGGATTCGGAGAGAGCATCTGATGACCTATGCAGATCCGGCATAACTGGGGAAAGGGTAGACCAGTTACATGCCTCATAATAATACCACCCCTCCTCCGAGAAGATCCACTTAGATCTCTAGGTGGTCAGAGCAGGACGAACAATGCCCCTGAATGAAATGATGATGGACAGGTGATCACTACTCAGGTATGGCTCGGTCCATATTTGCGCTATCGTAAGGAGCTTGTCCCAATGCAGAGATTGAGCATGAAGTATGCCCATTGAACAGGTATATCTGGGTTCCCAAACCTGGTGGCGTCAGTAAGGAGAGGTCTGGGGAATCGAGGAGAAACTAAACGAGGAGGGCTCGGCTGGCTGTGTTGTTGAGGCGACTCGATAGCATAGGTTGCCATGATGAGTGCTGGGCATTGAAGTCACCCATGACAAGGCAGGTGTCCCTGATCTGGCCAAAAGAGTGTTCTAGTCTGTTCTAGTTCCTGATCCGATAGAGCAGAATCTCCCCATAGACGGGGTGTGTCAATGAAGTCAGTGCTAGCTTCTCTGGGAAGAGGCAGGAGGATGACAAGTGCTGGGCTCCGGCTGGGAATGAGCATCCATGTCTGTATCCGTGGTGTAGTTTTCGTTCATGTCGCGACCCAGGGGGAAAAATCGATTGGCAGCCTGGGCATATAAGGCATGTAGCCGGGACAGGCATGAGCGTCTGCTAGACCCTACCTGTGAAGAGGCCCGACCAGTGGGAACCAGGAGGCAAGAAGAAACAGTAGGCTGATTTGAGGGTGTGCAACCTCTGGAGCAACTCTTGTTGAGGGGTCCCCACTGCTTTATGATCGATGTTCAACTGGACCTCAAGGTATACTGGGGAACTCTTGGATGTGACCTTGTGAGGGTCATGTCATAAAAGGCAGCGACGTCTTGCAGAGCACACACCATTATCTCTATCTGCATGACTTTTGTTGTCGCAGTTTGCACAGTGTGCTGCATCACGGCAGGTGAGGAGACTATGACCCAATAGAAAGCAAGCGTAGCATCGTAACACAGGAAAGTTGTAAGTCTGAATCTGATACGAGGTCCTGCGTAGCGCCACCTGGTCAGGGAGGGGCCCGTCAAACTTAACATGAACCATGGATGTCGTTCCTGCTGCTCCACGAATCATGTTAACTTCCAGTAGTCCCGCCGATGCACCCCCGTAACACTTGCAGAGTGGCCTGGATGTCATCCACTTCAACACTCGGGTCAATTGGATTGATCTTCCCATACTGGGCCTGAGACGACTCCTGTGATAATTCCTGTCGGCACCTGAGAGGCCAGTCCCCAAACGTGATAATGTCGCGTTGTTGGGGGCATTGTCGCATTGTTGGGGGAGCGTTGTCACATTGTTGGGGGGGGGGGGTGTTGTCGCATTTTTGCATTGTTGGGGACAATGTTGTGTTGTTTGGGGGGGGGGTTGTCCGTTTTCTATGTTGGGAGTGTTGCCGCATTGTTGGGAGTGTTGCCGCATTGTATGGATAGGGTGTTGTTCTGTTCTAGCACCAGTAATGTTCGTTGTTTATTTAAACTATCTACTAGAAGGAACACAGAATTCTATGAACAAGTTTGCTGATGATTATATGCTACTAGGGAAGATAATAAACTTTAAAGATAATTGTCATTTAAGAAGACCTACACAAAATAAGTGTAGAGTATGGAGCAAAATTTAGCAAATGGAATTTATTGTGAATGTATGCTGTGTTATAAAATGTGGAATAAGAGAAAATAGGCCACACACTATCTACAAATTATGTGAAAAAGACTTGTTGATAAAGATACAAGAACTCTAAAAGAGAGAGATCTAAGAGTTCCAGAAACAGGAATTCCTGAGGCTAACAACTTCAAGAACAAGAGGACACAGATTCAAGCTAAGGAAACAAAGGTGCCAACAAAATATTAAAGATTTCTTTTTCAAACAGTGGTAGATTGTTGGAACAAGTTAAGTGAGGGTGAGGAGGGGGTGGAGGCAAAAACTGTCAATACATTAGTTTCAAAGCGTTATATGACAGAGAGTAATGGGAAGACGAGACATCACGAGCGTAGCTCTCATCCAGTAACTACAATTAGGTAATTACACTTACATAATTATCGGTTAAGAGGTGGGGCCAAAGAGCCAAAGTTCACTGCAAGCACAACTAGGCGAGTTCAACTAGGTGAGTATTTACATAAATGCAGCAAAATTATAGGATGGAAAATTATATGAGAATGTTCAAATCTAGATACACCATAGCAATGCTAATACTTAAATTACTGGTGCTGTCCTGTCTTGACTATTGCTCGGTATAGTACTCACCTTTCCTTTCAGAGTGGGAGAGATCTCTGAATTAGAGGGAATACAGAGAACATATATGGCACCCATAGAACCGATAAAACCTGTAAATTATTGCGACCATCTTAGTTCTCAAAATGTACTCTCTGGAAAAGAAACGAGAAAGGTATCAGATATATAACATACGTGGAAGATACTTGAAGGCCAGGTCCCAAATTTGGACAGTAGAGTAACAACAAACTGGAGCAAAAAGTATGGAAGGAAATGCAGAATAGAACCATGTATGGAAGAGATGCCATAGGAACAATCAGAGAGCACTGTCTGAACTTCAGAGTTCCTCAGCTGTTCAACACCCTCCCGGGTAGCATTAGAAATATTGCCCGAACAAAGGTGGATGCATTTAAGAGGCACTTGGATAAATTCTTGCAAGAAGTACCGGACCAACTGGGCTGTAGTGAATACGTGGGCCCGCGGGCTGCTCGTTGGACCAAGTTATCACTAGTCGAGCATGGCTGCAGGCCGGGCTTGGGGAGTAGAACAACTCCCAGAACCCCCCCCTCTCTCCAGGTATGCATACATACATATATTCATACATACATACATACATACATACATACATACATACATACACACACACATATATTCATACATACATACATACATACACACACATATATTCATACATACATACACACACACATACACACACACATACATACATACATACATACATACATACATACATACATACATACATACATACATACATACATACTGTACATACATACAGTATCTATGTTTATATATAATGTATATTATTTATTATGCAGACTAATTTGTGATTCTGTTTTGGAATTTTTGGCCAGTGTACCAGTGGATATGTAATGTTTGAACTAAATGCTCATGTTGCATGTGTTACAGTAACTGTGAAGCCTTCAAAGCTACAGTACTATAATTTGTTTTGAAAAACAAAGTGTTTCATGGCTGTCAACATAAAACTACTAGAAAATATGACATTAGTGTTGTGTGGAATAATGCAAACATTCTAATTTTATTTGACTTGTCATTTTAATTTGTGTATGCTTTGTATGTATAAAGGCTAGTGTGGTAATGAAAGGTGTTTATTAACAGGAAATACCTACTTCTTCAAGTGTTGCTTGTCAGGTTTTCAGTAGGAACACTGTCATGCCAAGAGCCAGTGAATATGTGTTGGATGTGACTGGAAAGGAAAAGATACAGTAGCTGCTTTTGCTATACAGTACTGTTCTTGTGCCTGCTGACCTCTTCTTCACCCATCAAAGCAGAGACAATTGGTGGTGCTTTTAATTGTTTGTTTGCAACCTCCGTGGCTAACTGGAAGATGACTCTTCCATTGGTCTCGAGGAAAATATTATTTTGGCATTACTCTTCATTATTTTGGAACATTTTCATGCTGCATACACTTCATCAATATTAAATAAGCCTTATCCAATATAATTTTCATAAATTTAGTATGATAAATTGTTTTATAATACACATTAATTAAAGCATTTGTAATTCATTTTTTGATAGTAATTCGATGATAGTTCCATTAACCAAATTACTTGTTCGCTTATAGTCTGAGTATAGCATACATTCAAAATTGCTAACTTAATTAAGCTGGTATGTGGTTTGCAGGTCAAATCGGGGGGCAGCAAATCACGAGCCAGCAGTGCCCCACCTGTCAGAAGATCCGTCCTGGGTGCTGCTCTCCCACCTAAAAGTGCTGGAGGTAACGCCGTGTTGCAACTGTGCATGATGTATTATTAACTAACCTTGTAATAACATATACTCTACACTTAAAACCAATTAAAAATGTACATTACATTAATTCATCTACAATTTTATGAAATTAGAAAAAATCACTTATCCTTAATTTGTCTTGTGGCTTGAGAGGAAGGCAATAATCATGGTGATTATAATGTGTTTATTTTCAGGTCGGAAAAAGTATCAATAAATCACTAATCAATTTTACAATTATTAGTCTTATAGGTTGACATATTTTTTACTCCTCTGATTCCAGTAGACTGCTGCATTCAAACATAAATTTTATGTATATTTTGTCTAAGTTTATTAAAAATTGTATTAAGTGGTTTTATAAATGAAAGTTTCTCCTGATGAAACATTAAAATTGTTTGCAAAATAAGAAGAATGATATGATAAATATTTGCTTCATTATTCTAGTTGATAGAATAAAAATGGTTGTTTGCAACTAACCGATTTTTGGCATTGTCTCATTAATTCTTCATACACGACATTTTGCCTTTAACATTCTTAAAATATGTGAATCTCTTTGATTGTGTTCATCAGACAGTGAATGCATATGCATGTGAGTTAGCATTTGCTAGTACAGTACTGCTGAATGATGCTTCATACCAAAGTCCATCACAATCTGTAGTGCTTCTGTATATCCTATACAACATTTTGCTGAAATTGTGCCTGCAAATTGATATACAGTACATTGATTGTTAACTCATGGTTACTTTTATCAAGTTTAAAGGCGGGTGTAATGGGCAGACCTCAGTAATTCATTTAGATAGTACTGATGTAGCACTTAAGGTAAATATAATTTTATATCGTATTTACAGTACTTTAGATATAACAAATGCTATTTGGACTTTATGCTCCAAACACTGCAGGATTTAGTGTTTTCTTGCTGATAGTTAATGTATCCACAAATTAACTTAATCTCAGCAGTTTTTACAACTTTTGTATTGTCTTCTGAACAGAAACAAAAATAATAGCAACTTAGGCACTTTCATGGTAAATTAGTAGTCCTGTACTTCAGATTTGGACTAATGTAAATAACACTGTATTGATTTTGAGTGATGTACTAAACCATGTTGTTGTCCTCTCGTGCTGCTCCCTCTGCCCTGTGTGCATGTTGACTGTGTTGGGCTTGTATGCATATAGCAGGGGAGAGTGGTGGTAGTGGTGGTGGGGGCCCACGGACAACAATCAAGAGAGTACCATCCATCACTCGAGGGAGAATAGGCTCTTCTTCCTCAAATACAGGTACTAACAATACTTAGTAATGGGAGTGTATCACCTCATTTATTAAATATTTAATGAACTCTTTTTAAAACTGGTGGAGTATTAACAAGTTTCCAGGCTGATGCAGTTTCTTCTGCAGTAAAACTCTGTGATACTGTACAGTACAGTACTGTATCTAGAAAATATGGTTTGTAAATTAAAATGTTGCATTAACAAGACTGGCTTAACATACAGGTTTGTTTATTTTGTTAAGTCTTTAATACACTAACATTTGTCTGTTAAATCGGGTAGAATTTGAAGAATTTGCGTTAATTGAATCTATATAGCAAAAAATGCAATAAAGAATTTAAAAAAAAATTGGCTGTACAGTACTTAAAAGAATGTATTTAAAAGTAAATGTAAAATCTTGTAGAATTTACATATTCTGTATTTTATCATACCAGTTTGTGTATGCATGAGCCTGTGTCTGTGTGTGTGTGTGTGTGTGTGTGTGTGTGTGTGTGTGTGTGTGTGTGTGTGCATTTATTTATTTTGTTTTTCAATTGTAGACTATACTCAGCTGTTTGCACTTCCAGGTCAATGTACTGAATTTCCTTCTTAGCCTTGCCTTTTAGCTACCTGTCACCTAATGAAATAGGTTCTGACACCCCTTGCTTACTCTTGAAACTCCATAATGAAGTTAGCTGCAACTACATCCACTTTTAGCTCATCTACTTGCTTACTACTGTTACATAAGAGTAGTAACTTCCTACACCCCTCTGGCTCGTCTGAATTTATATTCACTGTCATTACCTCTTAAGTCTTCATAACGATGTAATACAATATTGTTTTAAAGATCATTCACCATGAAAGCTGTTCCCCCAGGAAACTGTACTTTCTCTGTAGTACTCTTCTTCATTCTCATCTCTGACTTAGACAAGAACACAGACTATTGTATATCATTCTTTGAAAACTATTTTTTTTTAATAGTAACTGTTTAGTTGGTTGATACCTGGTTGATGGGGTTCTGGAAATTCTTCTATTCCCCAAGCTTGGCCCGAGGCCAGGCTTGACTTGTGAGAGTTTGGTCCACCAGGCTGTTGCTTGGAGCGGCCCGCAGGCCCACATACCCACCGCAGCCCGGTTGGTCCGGCACTCCTTGGAGGAAACTATCTAGTTTCCTCTTGAAGATGTCCACTGCCTTTTTCTTTTCTCCACTGCCACTAGTATAAAAGACACAAGAAACCTCCAGACTAATGTAAACCAGGTGCAACAGTAAATTACTATACCAAATTACCACATGCAACAATGGGCAACAGTAAGTTTGGTATTCAATGAAAACAAGTTTCAGTGCCTGCTCTACATTCAAAACTTGTTACAATGTAACCTATTAAAAAAAAATCAACATAATGACCTGGGAGTAATAATGTCAGAAGACCTTACTTTCAAAGAAGAAAATAAAAAATGTCACAAGTGTGATTAAAATAATGGGCATAACAAGACCCTACCATACAAGAGTTGCCAAACCAACAATGATATATTTTCAAACATTAGTTCTATCTGGAATACAGTACAGTGTTTATGAACTATAACATCTACATTCGAAGCTGGAAAAGTTACTGACCTGGAGAATATGCAGAGAGCTTTTACTTGCTCGAATACATTCATTGAAACATGCAAATTATTGGAACCACTTGAAATCTCTTAAAGTGTACTCCCTGGTGAGAGAGATACATGATAATTTAGACCTTAAAAATATTAGAAGAACATTAAGGGCTCAAGTATTTTTAACTCTGCCTCTAAATATAAGGGGCATAACTAACTGACCTCTTTCAGTAATCAAAAGTAAACTGATAAATTTCTCTAAAGGGTGCTTGATCAACCAGGCTGTAGTTCCTACATCAGACTGGATGCAGCTGTGTTTAACAGCCTGACTAACCAGTCTGTCAACTGGTCTGTGGCCAGGTCAGAGACCAGGCCACAGGTATATCGATCCTCAGAACCAACTCAATGTAACCTCAAAGTAGCAGTTATCTTATGCATTTTTCCTCTGGCCTCATCATCTCCATCGACCAATTCTAAAGTTTTGCATTATCTACAATCATTATGATGTAGGATTGTACTTGTAAATTTTTTGTGTGTATCAGGAAGAGTACAGATTCAGGTGTACTGTACTGATCCCTGTGGTACTCCATTTATTACCCCGCTGCATTCCTCCATTTTTATATTTCTGTTACTCTTGCTCTCATTATGGATAAGTATTCATTCACAAAGGTGTACAAGGTTTCAGGTTTTTTCAAGTTTGCAGACATTTTTCTTTGATGTCATTGTATAGTAGTTTTGGTTATCTTTAGCTTCAGATGTTTGCCTTTTTTTTTCATTCTCATATTGCATCTGTTTCTCTTTTGAGCTTCACACAATAATTTATTGCTCTCCTTATTGTTATTTGGTTCTCTGCCCTCTTTTCGACCTCTTCTTATACACACACACAGAGATCACACTAACGTGATGCATCAATGCATGTGTGATCTCTGTGTGTGATGATGTAAGGGCGAAGAGGGAGAACGGCCTATTGACATAGCTCGGGTGCAGGGGGGGTTGTGTAAAAGCCTGGTTTGTGCCTCGGAGAGGCTATGGGATCCAGGAAGTTCAGTAGAACTTCGGTTTCAACCCTTTTACCCTGTCGTAGCTCAGTCGATTAAGGCAGTGTCTGGGATGCTCCCGGATGCAGGTTTGAATCCTCGTCACGGCCCTTGTGGATTTGTTCATTTACCTCTTCTTATATTTTTTCTAGCTAAACTGTTGGTTCAAGATCATGTTTTCTTCAAAGTCCTTTGGTATTAGAATGAATCTTCAGGTTTCGGACAACATTGTCCATCATTGTTGTACTGTAATGTTCTAAGTCCCACTAAACTCATCCCAGGAATTTACCTATTACTGTACCTCAAAATATTTCTGGTATGGTGAGCTTAAATTTTTCTCTTTCCTTGTGATAGTTTTATTTCAACTAGGTCAAAGACCAGGATGCAGTAGCCACTAGCTTCTAATGAAATTTTGTAATCCTCTCGATGTCTGCTGTATCCTGTTTGAAGTTTTCTTACCTTCCCATCTACTGTACTTGCTCATGATTGAAATCATGTATGATAAATTTTACTTTTTTTTGTGTGTGTGTCAGCAGCTATTGCTGCTGCTTGTGTGAAGGTTATAACTTCATTGCTTATTTCATAATCATGTATTGGCTATCTGGTATCCACTAGTGGAATGTACACATGGCTTCCACTATTTTGAATCCACCTGTTATGGTTCTTACGGCAATCTAAAAATGTATAAACCCAACTGGAATTTCCACAAACTTTAACTGCCACTTCTTCAGTAGTGCCAAGCTGCCACTAGTCCTTCATTTTCTTTGCTTATGATATGGTAGTACAGTAATTGGGAAACAACACATTTGTAATAATACTAGTATCTGTAAATTTTGTCTATCATTTTTTCTTATGATGGTTAGTGAGAAAATCCAGTGGGGCTATGAGGCGACACAAACCCACAGTCAAGGTGTTGCCAGCTGCATACTCTACTATTGTACCACTGTGGCTTGTTAAAATTCATATAACAAGATTTCTACTTAAATACGCAGGACGTCAGGAGGCCCGTCCTTAAGCCACTTAGTTTACGTATGGCCCCCAAACACTAGGGTGAAGGGGAAAGTAGTTCAACACAGAGTCAAGCAGTGGTATAGTGGTAGAGTATCCGGCTGGCAATGCCTTGATCACATGGAAAATTCTGGAGGGCCAGGTCCCAAATTTACACGGCAAAATAACAACGTATTGGAGTGAACGACATTGAAGAAAATGCAGAATAGATCCAGTGAAGAGCAGGGGTGCCATAGGCACAATCGGAGAACACTGTTTAAACATCAGAGGTCCACAGTTGTTCAACATCCTCCCAGCGAGTATAAGAAATATTGCCGGAACAACCGTGAACATCTTCAAGAGAAAACTAGATTGTTTTCTCCAAGGAGTGCCGGATCAACTGGGCTGTGGTGGGTATGTGGGTCTGCGGGCCGCCCCCAAGCAACAGCCTGTTGGACCAAGCTCTGACAAGTCAAGCAGCCTTGGGGAGTAGAAGAACTCCCAGAACCCCATCCAGGTATGGGTTTGTGTCGCCTCACAACTCCAGTGGATTTTCTTATTAATGTTTATCACGTTTGGGATTTTGTGTGTGTATCAAGGTTAGTCTTACAAGCTCTTTCAGGCCATTCATTTTGTTGGTGCTTGTCTTGTGTGTTTGAGCGAGAGAGATTTCTGTGGTGCATGGTTATGAAATACCAATCATAACTTTCAAACAAATATTGTTTAAACTCTAAATTTGTTGTTTATAATTACAGCTGCTGCTGGAGCTGTTGATGAAGCATCTTTCTTTGCCTTATTTGAGGATACTCCAAAGGTCACCATATATTCTACTCGGGAATTAGAAGATACGCTAACTAAAATTCGAGAGGTCATCTCTAGCGCCAACAATGACTGGGACAAGAGAGTAGAAGCTGTGAGTGTATTTTAATTCCTGCATACACACACACACACACGCACATGCACACACATGCACGCACACTGATGGAGATGGGATAGATGGATGGAGTGAGATCGAAGATACTGGAGTTAAGTGATGTAATACAGCTGCAGACACCAGACATTGTTGCACTCACGGAGACAAAACTTGAAGATGTAATTTTAAATGAGGTCATATTCCCAAGGGGCTACTCAATTTGGAGACGGGACAGAAAAATTAGGAAAGGCGGTGGCGTTGCTGTGCTGGTAAAAGAACACCTAAAGGTGAAGGAAATAATGACTGCCAATCCACAAGAAGTTGACATAATAGCACTAGAGATCTGCTATGAGGATGATAAACTAATGATGATAAATGCATATAGTCCACCGCCAAGCAGCACATGGTCAAAGGAGGAGCTAGATAGTAAACGTGAAGGTCTTATAACAATAATGAGAGAGATTATAGCGAGAGCGGATAACGATAGATCACGACTGTTGATAGTCGGTGACTTCAACTTGAAATCCATAGACTGGGAAGCATATGAAGCTAAAACAGAAGATTTTTGGACCTGTAAATTTGTAGACCTCATCCTGGAAACATTCTTGTATCAACATGTTAAACAAGCTACGAGGATGAGGGAAGGGGACGTTCCCTCCATGCTAGATTTGATATTTACCAGGAAGGAGGAAGAGATATTTGACATTCAGTACCTTCCTCCCTTGGGTAAAAGTGACCATGTCTTTTTGGGAATAAAGTATGCAATGCGTTATAAGCTGGAAGAAAATAAGGAGGTTGAAGCAGTTGAAAAACCAGACTTCAGGAGAGGACATTATGGTGACCTTAGAAATTTTTTTAGTGAGTATAATTGGACAGACTTGATGCTAGGCAAGGAAGTGAATGAGATGTATGGCAAGTTTTGTGAAATATATGATAAAGGCACAAAAAAATTTATACCAAAACAGAGATGCAGAACTAGGAAACCGGATTGGTTCAATAGAAATTGCGAGAGGGCTAGAGACCGAAAGACACAAAAATGGAATCAATACAGGAAGAGGCCGAACCCCCAAACATACCAGCGATACAAAGATGCGAGAAACAACTACACGGCAGTGAGGAGAGAGGCAGAAAGAAATTTTGAAAAAGGGATTGCGGACAAATGTAAAACAGAACCAGGTCTATTCTATAAATTCATAAACAACAAATTGCAGGTAAAGGATAATATTCAGAGGTTGAAAATGGGAAATAGATTCACGGAAGATGAAAAGGAAATGTGTGAAACACTAAACGAAAAGTTCCAAAGTGTGTTTGTACAAAATGAAATCTTTAGGGAACCAGATACAATAAGAATTCCAGAGAACAACATAGAACACATAGAGGTGTCTAGAGACGAAGTGGAAAAAATGCTCAAGGAGCTCGGTAAGAACAAAGCAGCTGGCCCAGATGGCGTTTCACCATGGGTTCTGAGAGAATGTGCATCTGAGCTCAGCATTCCACTTCACCTGATCTTTCAGGCATCCCTGTGTACAGGAATCGTAGCAGACGGGTGGAAACAGGCTAACATAGTTCCAATCTACAAAAGTGGCAGCAGGGAAGACCCCCTCAATTATAGACCTGTATCATTGACAAGTGTAATAGTGAAAGTATTGGAAAAACTAATCAAAACTAAATGGGTAGAACACCTAGAGAGAAATGATATAATATCAGACAGACAGTATGGTTTTCGATCTGGAAGATCCTGTGTATCGAATTTACTCAGTTTCTATGATCGAGCCACAGAGATATTACAGGAAAGAGATGGTTGGGTTGACTGCATCTATCTGGACCTAAAAAAGGCTTTCGACAGAGTTCCACATAAGAGGTTGTTCTGGAAACTGGAAAATATTGGAGGGATGACAGGTAAGCTTCTATCATGGATGAAAAATTTTCTGACTGATAGAAAAATGAGGGCAGTAATCAGAGGCAATGTATCAGAATGGAGAAATGTCACAAGTGGAGTACCACAGGGTTCAGTTCTTGCACCAGTGATGTTTATTGTGTACATAAATGATCTACCAGTTGGTATACAGAATTATATGAACATGTTTGCTGATGATGCTAAGATAATAGGAAGGATAAGAAATTTAGATGACTGTCATGCCCTTCAAGAAGACCTGGACAAAATAAGTATATGGAGCACCACTTGGCAAATGGAATTTAATGTTAATAAATGTCATGTTATGGAATGTGGAATAGGAGAACATAGACCCCACACAACCTATATATTATGTGAGAAATCTTTAAAGAATTCTGATAAAGAAAGAGATCTAGGAGTGGTTCTAGATAGAAAACTATCACCTGAGGACCACATAAAGAATATTGTGCAAGGAGCCTATGCTATGCTTTCTAACTTCAGAATTGCATTTAAATACATGGATGGCGACATACTAAAGAAATTGTTCATGACTTTTGTTAGGCCAAAGCTAGAATATGCAGCTGTTGTGTGGTGCCCATATCTTAAGAAGCACATCAACAAACTGGAAAAGGTGCAAAGACATGCTACTAAGTGGCTCCCAGAACTGAAGGGCAAGAGCTACGAGGAGATGTTAGAAGCATTAAATATGCAAAAACTAGAAGACAGAAGAAAAAGAGGTGATATGATCACTACATACAAAATAGTAACAGGTATTGATAAAATCGACAGGGAAGACTTCCTGAGACCTGGAATTTCAAGAACAAGAGGTCATAGATTTAAACTAGCTAAACACAGATGCCGAAGAAATATAAGAAAATTCACCTTCGCAAATAGAGTGGTAGACGGTTGGAACAAGTTAAGTGAGAAGGTGGTGGAGGCCAAGACCGTCAGTAGTTTCAAAGCGTTATATGACAAAGAGTGCTGGGAAGACGGGACACCACGAGCGTAGCTCTCGTCCTGTAACTACACTTAGGTAATTACACTTAGGTAATTACACAGAGGAGGCAAACCAAGCAACCTTAGAGGAATTTGACCTCACCAGTGATGAGGTCAAAAGGTGTCTGCTGGAGCTGGATGTGACAAAGGCTGTTGGGCCTGTGACAGAATCTCACCGCGGATACTAAAGGAAGGTGCAGAAGCACTAAGTGTGCCACTCTCTATGGTGTATAACAGGTCACTGGAAACAGGAGACTTACCAGAAAGTTGGAAGACAGCTAACGTAGTCCCAATATACAAGAAGGGTGACAGGCAAGAGGCACTGAACTACAGGCCAGTTTCCCTAACTTGTATACCATGCAAGGTGATGGAGAAGATTGTGAGGAAAAGGGTTGTAGAGCATCTGGAGGGAAATAACTTTGTAACACACCACTAACATGGGTTCAGAGATGGTAAATCGTGCCTCACAGGTTTAATAGAATTCTATGACCAGGCAATAAAAATTAGGCAGGAAAGAGAAGGGTCGGCCGACTGCATTTTCCTGGACTGCCAAAAAGCCTTTGACACAGTACCCCATAAAAGGCTGTTAAAAAAGTTGGAGCATCAGGCAGGAGTAAAAGGTAAGGTGCTCCAGTGGATAAGGGAGTACTTAAGCAACAGGAAACAGCGAGTAATGGTGAGGGGGGACGACATCAGAGTGGCGAGATGTCAAAGCGGAGTCCCACAGGGCTCAGTACTTGGACCCATCCTGTTTCTAATATGTGTAAACGATCTTCCGGAGGGTATAGACTCGTTCCTCTCTCTCAATATTTGCTGATGATGCAAAAATTATGAGAAGAATCAAGACGGATGAAGATAGACAGAGACTACAGGATGACCTGGACAAACTGGAGGAATGGTCTAGAAAATGGCTGCTAAAGTTTAACTCAGGAAAGTGTAAGGTAATGAAATTAGGCGAAGGGAGCAGGAGGCTGAACACAAGGTATCATCTGGGAGGTGAAATCCTGCAAGAGTCAAATAGAGATAAAGATCTGGGGGTTGATATCACACCGAACCTGTTCCCAGAGGCCCACATCAAAAGAATATCATCAGCGGCATATGCTAGACTGGCCAACATAAGAACTGCCTTCAGAAACTTGTGTAAGGAATCTTTCAGAACCCTGTATACCACTTATGTAAGACCAATCCTGGAGTATGCAGCTCCAGCCTGGAGTCCATACCTAGTTAAACACAAGACAAAGTTAGAGAAGATTCAGCGGTATGCCACCAGGCTCGTCCTGGAACTGAGAGGATTGAGCTACGAGGAAAGACTAAAGGAGCTGAACCTCACATCCCTGGAAAACAGAAGAGTAAGGGGAGACATGATAACCACCTACAAAATTCTCAGGGGAATTGACAGGGTGGACAAAGACAAACTCTTCAGCACGGGTGGGACACGAACAAGGGGACACAGGTGGAAACTTAGTACCCAGATGAGCCACAGAGACGTTAGAAAGAATTTTTTCAGTGTCAGAGTAGTTAATAAATGGAATGCACTAGGAAGTGATGTGGTGGAGGCTGACTCCATACACAGTTTCAAATGTAGATATGATAAGAGCCCAGTAGGCTCAGGAATCTGTACACCAGTTGATTGACAGTTGAGAGGCGGGACCAAAGAGCCAAAGCTCAACCCCCGCAAGCACAATTAGGTGAGGTGAGTAACAATTAGGTGAGTACACACATGCACACGCACATGCAAAACATACGTACACACTCACCTAATTGTGCTTGCGGGGGTTGAGCTTTGGCTCTTTGGTCCCGCCTCTCAACTGTCAATCAACTGGTGTACAGATTCCTGAGCCTACTGGGCTCTTATCATATCTACATTTGAAACTGTGTATGGAGTCAGCCTCCACCACATCACTTCCTAGTGCATTCCATTTATTAACTACTCTGACACTGAAAAAATTCTTTCTAACGTCTCTGTGGCTCATCTGGGTACTAAGTTTCCACCTGTGTCCCCTTGTTCGTGTCCCACCCGTGCTGAAGAGTTTGTCTTTGTCCACCCTGTCAATTCCCCTGAGAATTTTGTAGGTGGTTATCATGTCTCCCCTTACTCTTCTGTTTTCCA